TCTGGAGTTATAAACTACCAAAGGCAACGAATCAGTTATGACATGGACGTAGGAACGGACAGAGTGGGCGCAAGACGCTAACTTTGTTAGTTATAGCACAGATAAAATACCCAACAGATTGCCAACCAAATGCAGTGTTACTAAATACAACCATAATGCAAATGCGAACTACGGGTTGCCTATAGGTCCCCAATTTCCAGTGAAAAATATAATTTTTTATTAAAGATTTTTATGAAACATGATACCGCTTTTTGCCACAAGAGGACTCACACTGAAATTTCAGTATCGGTATCTGTAGTCAACACTACACAAAATATGGTATGTAAACGTACTAAATTCCAATTATTCATTAACAGGGCGCTCTGATTGAGCGAAACGAAACACCGCCCCGTTTGTTTTTTTGTTTACAAGGCATACCCAAAGTTAATTTTTTAAGGTCTTCAAAATAATTTACCATTAAAAATATATTAAATTGGATGGTCCATAAATGCTGCATAACCCTCCCAAAAAATTAAAAAAAATGCAACAAACAATAATTACATATTCCAACTATAAAAGATTTTCTTTACTAAAATAACGTAAATAATGTCGACCAGTGGAATTATCTTCCGTCTAACGCAATTGCCGAATCATGTTTCAACTGGGCAATATTGCCGTAATCTGCGAGCTCCATCCAACAACCGCGCCGCACTCCGCGAACACCTGTGCTATCAACACCAGTTTAAATTCTAAAGACTTATCACAGAAAAATTGTTCAATTGATCTGTTGACTTATTTAAAGTAAAGCGGCCGACTCTAAAAGGAAAATTCACCTTAGCTGCATTTAACGTCGAGCGCATCGCGAAAAATGGTATTGTATAAAATTACACGATTTTCTCACTTCTGCATTTTCCTGTTATCCAACACTTCATAAAGGCACTAAGACACAGATAAATATCTGTGATAAAGGACATTTGCGAACTGAACTGCTGAAAATTTTGTTTTTAAATCGATGACGTATTTAAAAGAAAATTACTTACGACTCCAAAAGTGCATAATTGCCAAACAAAATGACAAAGTAAATAAATAAATTGGTAAACCGACGAAAATGTTTAAAAATCTGAAAAGTTTTGTTATGAAATCGGTAGCGTATTTAAAAGAATATTACTTACGACTCCAAAAGTGCATAATTGCCAAACAAGGTGACACAGTAAATAAATAAATTGGTAAACCGACGAAAATGTTTAAAAATCTGAAAAGTTTTGTTATGAAATCGGTAGCGTATTTAAAAGAATATTACTTACGACTCCAAAAGTGCATAATTGCCAAACAAGGTGACACAGTAAATAAATAAATTGGTAAACCGACGAAAATGTTTAAAAATCTGAAAGGTTTTGATTAAATAAAGGCTTGGAAGTAAAGTTACTTACGGCGTGTGCAAGGGTGCTGCAACTGTTATGTAACTATTTATGCTGCATAATTTTCAATTTCGATTTGGCGGAAAATGTTGGCATTAATGACCATTTGCACTCCTTGTGAATTTTTGCGGTGAGAAGTAAGTCAATGAAAAATTTTTTGTGTTCTTCATTACCACAAAAATTTTCTGAATTAAATAAGTGTCGACTCTTCAAAGATAATTTTTTTCGAATGTCTCTTTCCCAGAACATATTTTTAAATTCATTGTGGAATATGGTCAAGCAGTCATTCACTAATTTATAAATATGTAGTGAAGGGGAGAAAAGTCCTTTTGAAGTGTCTTGCTTTTTATACATTTTGTTTGAAATATATAACTGAAGCTTGTGCACTTTGGAGTGAAAATTTTTCAGAACACGTTTCACAATCAAACTTTTTAGCGGTTTTGCTACAAACATAACCAGCAAAGTAGTTTATTGCACAATCTTCAATGGTGACGGGTTGCGCTATCTGAATTTCGGTGTCGGTGTTCTTTCCACTGTCAAGTTCTGAACATTCTTCACTACAAATGTTATCATTATCACAAATGGACACGCTTTCGGAGTTATGTTCGTGGGCATTCAAACTCAAAGTAGTTTGGTCAGGAGCGGTGCTTAAGTAATCATCTTCATCAATTTCACAGTTCGCGTATTCGGATGGAGTTATACAATTAATGACCGATGATCTAAATACTGTTCTAAAAACTCTACATGTTGGATTTCTATTGAAGCCACCCCTTTTGCGAACGACAGAAAAATAATTTTCGAGTACGTCCTGGCACAACCGATTCGTTAATATGTAATTAAATGTACTTTTTTTACATTCGTCATGAAGGAGTACAACGCCGTTGATAGTTTGTATTAAACCGGAAAAGCATGGTGGTCTAGTAATTTTCCCTTTAGAATTGATTTTTGACAAGTTTTTTACAAACTGTTTACAAGTGGTTAGGGTTTCTAGAACTTCCACATTTTCGTCACTAATTGCACGTCTATATGTATGGATTTTTATCGTATTTAATTTTACTATTTAAGTTATCAAACGTATTGTTCATTAACGAAATAAAGTTAGCTGTATCTATAGCAGATTCACTTTTTAGCTGGCCTGTTTCAGTACACGTTTTTATTGCAGCAGATACAGTATGGCTAAACACCTGCAACGCTAATTTGCACGACTGTTTTTGAAAAGAATTAGGTGATATGTGTGCATCCGTTAATTTCACCATTGCTCTTGCCTTACCCATTTTATCTAACTCATACGTTCTTACAATGTCGTTGTACTTAATGAGGCGTTTTCTGCCATGCACATCTACTTGATAATCTCCATCTAATAAATTGTTACGAAAATTTTTGAATAAATGTGGCGCATCGTATATGAAAATTATTTTCTGTTCGTACGTGTCGATGTATGGTTTATCTTCTGTAACACCTAGAAGCTTTAAAGCCGCCACGTTGGTGGTCGCCTGGTCACAAACAGCAGCTCTAACAACTAAACAGCACTTTTGGAGTTCCTCGATTGTGTATTTAATTAAAACATGCAGCTGTTCCTTTTTTATGCCACTACCCGATAAGTAATATGCAAAAGGCAATTTCCATTTGCTGAAGAGACCCCTTGTCATAAACACTAGAGCTTTCTTGGCTACAACCTTAGTTCTGCCCAAATGCCCAACATCCTCGAATCCTTCAATGAAATCATAAGGTTTCGAGTATTCCAGCTTTGCCATCAAATCCACTTCATCAAATGCTAGAACACATTGCTTTTCTATACGTTCCATGCTCTCGGTTTTTAATTTAAGTTGTTGTGCAAACTTTTTATCGGTGCCTGGAAAGAATCTGGACTCTCCGATCCATCCTCTGATTGTTGATAGTGCAGGAAGTACGAAACCATTGCGTTTAAATAGTTTATAAGATGCCGGCGAACTGTAGTAAAAAGCCAATGCAAATTTTTTTTCTGTTCGAGTCCAGGGCATTCTTTTCTTGTGTAAAAATTGCATGGAGAACATAGCTTTTACAGAATCGGATTTATGCATGATAGAACTAAACATGTTGGTGGTCGCTAATTGTTGTTTATATTTTAAAACCGTCCTCTTCTGTTTTGAATTTTGTATTTGTGCCCGTCTCAGGTGAGATGTATTCTGACTTAGCTTGAGCGATAACTTTTTAAAGCGTCTTGATTCATTTAAGCACAGCAAAACCGACTACTATCTCACGTATAAAAGAAATTCACAAGAAAAGCGGGACAAACTTTTTGATCGTAAGTATTCATTTTCGACGGTTTTCGAAAAGGCAATAAATGCAAGCCCAACAAAATTATTTACTTCTGTCACAGATAAAAATCTGTGCTTCTGATGTGGTTTATCTATTTACTGCGTATCTTTGCACGGTTATCAAGAAAATTTGCGATCCGATTACACAGATTAAACGTGTGCACGTGCTCGCCTCCATACGCTCCCCTATAAATGGCCGATTGCGCCAGCCGTCAAATTGACTCAAATTTTAAATTTAAGACTTAAATACAGGTTAAAATCTATAGCAACCATCTTTGATAATGGCACAGCTTACAATTATTAATAATGGTCGCCACACAATTTAAACTGAAATCTAAATCTTTACATAAATTTGATAGTTTAGTTAAGTACTTACCTCAAAATTATAATAGCTTTGACACTACAACAAATTAATGTAAGACAAGTCACTGTACACATAAATCACACACAATGCAATCACAAACGCAAACACCTATAAATTATAGTTTTATAGACTAAAAGACACGGTTTCGCGGGGTGAGTTTTTTTAAAGTGACATCTACAGAAAAACGCTTGTAACTCATTCTTTTCATGACCACCATAAAGATTCGTAAAATGGATGTTCATACTAATACTCAGTAGATGGCGCGTTTAAGTATACCAGGATCTTTAACTTAAGTATATTTTAAGTATATTTATGTTACCCATAAAATGTATTGTGGTTAGCAATCTGTTGGGTATTTTATCTGTGGTTATAGAATGCGCTAAAACTTCACTTCAAACACACTTGTTGCTTACTTTTACTTACATACCTACCTTTAATTAACTTATTCCAATCTCTTCTATTTTTCTGTCAATTTCACTAGAGGACAACCAACCTTTGTAACGTTGAAATCATGTGCGACTCCAGTGAGAATATTAACACGTTTTTATTTTATTTTATTTTTATATATCATATACATCAGATGTACGAATCGATTTAGTTGTCCGTTAGTTCAGAACATTTCGCCATCTATTGCCAAAGGTTATTATTACACTTACTGTAATCAATTCGTGTGATATTAAATTACTCAGCAAAGGTTGGACGTATAATTACACCATATACAGGTCCATTGCCGCCGGGGTGAAACACAATTAGTTAATGGTTACTTTTTATTTAATTTGGTTCCTATTTAAATGGTTTTTATACCCTCTTCCATTATCTGTGAAATACAGAAATTTACAATAGCTTCGTAATGTGTTTAAAAATAAAGTAAAAGATTTTTATATTTGATTACATACATAATTGTTATTCAATTATACCACTTTAAATAATGTAGTAACTACTCTATCTTTTATTTTTTATCCCTAAAAACACAATTAGACTTAATCTAAAAGATGCAAACGAAAAGTTTTTTATTCTATAATACAAAGGTTCCAGCTGTAAATAGGGAGAAATAGAAATATAAAGTAGTAAGTAAAATAATAATCAATGAGTACGAATGATTGATTACGGAGCGTAAGGGTAATATGAATTGAAGTATGGATAATATTAAATAGACATGTGGTGTATACGAGAGTATTCGTATAACATAAAAGACTTCGGCGTTTAATTAGAACATCATGCAATACTTGTAAACATTGTGAACTTCAAGGTAAAAATTCAAGGTTCACTCGCAAATGAAATAGGTTGCAGCGATCCTCGAGAAGGAAAGCTAGTGGAAACGGGTCTCCCATTGAAACAACCACCGAGCTTTGACAAAGCTCATATAATTTTGGACGCCAAACACGCCAAAAAGTAAATAAAAATACTCACAATAAAATAAGATTACAAGCTTTGTGAATC